TTCAGTTGTACAATTAGCGCCTACAGCATCCCCCGCCCCCCGCCTGTGTGCAGCTACAGCCACACAATGTAGGGTGCCAAGAAAGGTATCTTCAGTGTCTCCTGAAAGACTCTTACACGCACCTTACAGGCACCTTAGCTGAGTGGACATAGGACAAAGAAATGAAGGTCCCACGGTTTCACTCCCCAGTCTTGGTGTAGCAGCACATTCATTCAACTGTTCACCCAGATCTCATTGTATGTATGTATGTGTATAAACATAATATATTTTCCTCCTTTTTTTTTTTTTTTTTTTTTTTTTGAGATAGGGTCTCACTAAGTAGTACGGCCTGGCCTTAAATTCACTGTATAGCACACACTGGCCTCAAATTCCCAGGGATCCTCCTGACTTAGCCTGTGTGCTAAAATTATAGGTATATGTCACCACATCCAGCTCAATACTTGCTGAAACACAGCTACATGGCAGGATACAGATCCAGAAGAAAGACAGAGAGAAGAGGGAAGGGGAGGTAGGGAAGGAAACGTAGGAGAGGGGAGAATCATGACAATCACAAACAGGAGGAATAGCTCTCACTTTGGGAAAGGTAATACAAGGTAAAAACAATTTTTGTTCTTGTCATTTATTGGTTCTTAAGTCACTTTCATAAATGAACAGAGAAAGCTCTTTCCATTCAATTTAACAAATACCAGTCATCCAGGGTTCCATTAAAAATACATCTCTCACTTATGGCTCCACACTGGTCTCTCAATTGAGAATTTTGCTGATGTGTTCAACCTGCTTTCCTGTGATTCCGATACTCTTTGTAGAAATGTACCAGAAGCTCCCTGGGAGACGTAGTTTAAATTTAGTTAGGATGTCTCAGTGTGATACGGCATTAACTCATGTGTTTTTTTGAGTTATAAAGTATGAATGTTTTATTTCATACACTATTCCATAGAGACACTACTGACATTTTATGTGGGCTAAATTTTCCACTGTTATTTACAAAGTTGACCTTTTTAAAATTTTTTTTTTCCATTTCTTCTTCCCCCACTCTCGTTCCTGTTTCAAACAATTTCTTTCCATTTTATAATACCTATTGTACATTTTGGACCTTATTTACTCTTTCAGTTTGTCACACCAGAGAGAAAATACGATGTTTACACAGGTGAGTCTGTTTCATTCTTTTTTTTTTTTTCTTTTTATCGGTACCGGGGATTGAACTCACAACCACCTGCTTGCAAGGCAGGTACTTATGATGCTGAGCTAATTCCCCAACCCTTACACATGAGTCTGATTTACTTCACTTATGAGTATGGTCTCAAGGTACATCCGTTTACCTATAAGTTTCCAGTTTACCCTTCTTTACACCATGGTAGTACGCCACTGTATAAAAATACCACTACTTCCTTATCCCTTCCTCAACTGATGGGTATTTGGGCTGTTTCCAAGATTTAGCTAATACAAATGGTGCTGCTATAAACATGGGTGCACATGTATCATAGTGATACAACTTTTTAACCCAGAAGGGGAACAGCTGGGTCAAATGAGACCTCTAGTTTTAGTTTTTTGAGGAATCTGTACAATGATTTCCACAGTGGCTCCATCAGTCTACGCTTCCACAATAGTGAAGAAGAGTTTCTTCTTTCCCACACCCCTGCCAGCATTTGTTATTGGTTGATTTCTTGATCTTGGCCATTCTTTAATCTCAGTGTTGTTTTAATTTGTCTCTAATAATCAAGGATGTTGAGCATTTATTTGCCTTTATTTTTTTCATCAGAGAAGTATGTATTCATCTCAGATGCTCATTTTTAGATTGGGTCTTTAAATTTGGGCGGGAGTCTGATTTTTTTCAATTCCTTTTTTTTTTTTTTGTACCGAGGATCAAACTCACGACTGCATGCTTGCAAGGCAGGTGCTTATGCCACTGAGCTAAATCCCTGGCCCTCCTTATACGTTATAAATCCTTTGTCTCAAGGACAAATGGCTAAAATTTTTTCTACACTGTGGGTCATCTTTTCACTCTGTGATTTATTTTGATGTGCAAAAGGTTTTTAATAGGATGAGATCCCAGTTGATTCTCTGTATTATCTCCTGTGTGACTTCAAGAATGCTGTCTATTCTCTCTTCTAGCAGATATAGTGTTTCTGTTTTAATATTTGTATCTTTGATTCATTCTGATTTTAGTGCATGGTGATAGACATGGGTCTAGTTTCAGTCTTTGGCATGTGGAAAATCAGTTTTTCCAGCATAATTTATCTAAAATACTACTTCTTCTTTACTACTTCCAGAGAATGTGTTTGATTCCTTTGTCAAAGATTGCCAAGGCCCGAAGTTTGAAGAAACATTTTCCAAGGTCTGTCAGGCCTTGAACTCATGGCAATCCAAACTCAGCTTCCCATGCAGTGAATGCAGGTGCACTACCATGCCCAGCTATTAATTTTATTTTTAACTGTACCAATAAACACATGTAAAATTTAATCATTTTTAAAAGCACAGTTCAGTGGTACTAAGTACATGAGAATGGAAGGGAGGGAGAGAGACAAGCAGGAAAGGAGGGAGGCAATGAATTCCAGCTAAAATGTGTATGCATTTTCATTTTAAGATCATAAACCACAAGCTGCCACATGGCAGTGCACCCCTGTAATCCTGGCACTCAGGAGGCTAGGGCAGGAGGATCACAGCAAGTTTGAGGCCAGCCTGAACACAGTGAGACTTCACACATCATTAAACAGTAGGCATAAGATCCTCTACCTAGTGGATCTCAATGCTGACTGAGGCTGTCTTTTGATTCTACCATGGTAGGGACACAGTGATTATTTATTTCACTTCTGTTCCTTTATTCCAAACACCTATCTCTGTTGTTCTTCATGCTTTGGTTTTTGCCATTTGCCATTTTTCTCCTTTTATTCTTTCATTGTCTGCATGCTTGAGAAAATATACTTAATTTGGAAGGTTTGGGATCAACACCGTGGAACAGGTAAATAAATTAGGTAAGTATAAATAAACTTAACAGAAACCAAATACTCCTCTCTCTAGATCCACATCTATTCTATTTTGTTATTATTTTTAATATAACTGAATATTCATAGGTTCTGTAAAGTATCTGTCATTTTGTGGATTCAAAATGTCAAATATTATGATTGACAATCACCTAAACAACAAACTAACAAGCCAGTATCCATCCACAAAGTAAATTTAAAGCAAGTAACTTCAGTTCATTTGAATATACATATTATTTACTATGCCCTACCCACATAATTATCGAATATCCACTGTATGCTAGGGATTATTCTAGACACCAGGTATACAATGACTTGTCTTTGTTTTTGTTTTATTTAAAGACAAAATTCTGATTCACCATGCTTACATTCTGATTGGAAAGACAGAAAATAAATAATACAAAAGTGATACATATATATTACAAAGTGGTAAATGCTAAGAAAAAATGAAGCAAAAGAAGGAATAAATATGCATAATTTTAGATGAGGTGGTGAAGGCCTCGTTGAGCATGGCTTCTAAGTAAACAGCAGGAGGATGTGAGAGAGGGTAGGGAAAGAGCTTTTCACACAGAGAGCACATTAAGGGCAGGGGCCTGGAGGCCATGCTGAGGACCAACAAGGTCACCAACCAGTTTCTGAAAGACAAGTGACATGACCTAACTTACACTCAGATGACAGCATCATCGTCACTGTCACTTTGTACCACTGTCAGAAATATTTCAACGGATCAGATTAAGCACATGTTGATGAGAATGTCTTGAGCACAAGTGAGAAGAAGTTCAATTACAGGTCACCTTGATGGTTACACTGCTGGCTTCTGCATACAGATTTGGTAAAGGTTCTCCTACCCAATGTAAATTCCTTTCCTCTTATATTTCTGTATATCAGGAAAATATGCAGCAAAAATCAGTGAGACAGGAAAGAGAAATAGGCTAAAGAATATGTTAAGAAATACCAATTTCAGATCATGAACCAATTTTAAAATTGGACCCATAACATTCTGAAGGAAATGCTTATAGAGTTAATATAAAGTATCACAATAAGATTTAAGTACCTCTCACTGTTAAGGTGGTGTGGATGACTACATTACCATGAAAAGGACTACCATATCTCCACTCAGAAATGAAAATACAAATTGTGGGTGGACATAACACTTGGCAAAAAACTGGCTGAGGGCACCAGCTGGGGGCATGATGTGAAAATGTAAGGTGTGCTATTGAGGTTCCCAGAGCAAGCAGCTTAAATCTCTACTGAAAATCATGGTTTTCCTTAGTTGTTATACAAACAAAATGAACTCTCATAGCAATTCATGCATCTTGCGGAAAACTGAGTATCTTTAAATATTTACAAAATAATCACTATTTCTATCTTCTTCGATTGAATCAGTTTCTGTGACTGTCTTTAAATTCATGTGTTAAACATGTAAAGCCATCGTATTTATCATTGTGCCCAGAGAAAGGACAGCTTTGCCATATCAATTTTTGAGACAGTATCTTGTTCACTGCAGAAGAACACCACTTAAAGCCCTACTGCACAACCTAATTCAAGCACTGAAACTGAAATGAATGTCACATACCAGTAGATGGTACTTTATTTTACATGCCACTATAAACCTCTGTTGCTTTTTGAAATGCCCACTCGGCACACTTTGTATTTATAATTGCTATTGAGTCTCTTCCAGTGAACTTCCCATTATTACTAAGAAAGCCTTTATTGTACCCAAGGTTGTTTCCTTTACAGGATTATTTTAAGCAATAGTAGGTAGACAAAACCTAAAAGCCAATCCATTTCTGTAGATAGATTCAGGTTATCTGTTGGCACGTATAAAATATACAGCAATAGTACTTTAAAAAATTTATTCTCATAGTCAAAAGGAATTAGAATCTCATGAGGAATAAAATAGAAGCAAACCTATTGTACTATAATTTATTTTTGGTTTGTTTTACTATTGTATGCTCTAAATTATAGAATAAGCAGCAAAAAATTAACATCACAGATATGTAATATATAGATATTTACCATTTGACTCTGAAGCCATTCAATAAGTGTCTCTGCTGTTGAATCTGGGATCTGGCATCTCAAGCCTTCCTTCTCATCTGTTTCCATCATATCTAATAATCCACGCAGGTCTTCTACAAGGTGTAGAGCTCGCAAGTTTCCCATGAATGGAGAGGTGGGAGACTGACAATCAAAAATCCCATTGGAATATTCCAGGGCCTTAGAACCTATATTAAAAAAAAAAAAATTGAAGAGCGGTGGGATTTTTGTTAGATAAAATACTATAGCTACAAGATGTAAATCAGTTTAGTCCTATATATATTGAAAACAAGGAATAGGGAAAAGATAATTAAATCATGTAAAGCTCTCTAATTTACAGTGATTTCATGGAAAAATAAAACCATATAATGACAGTAATTATCCATGGTCTAAAACCTAACAAACAGGCCAAATATGTATTATAAAAAGAACAAGATCCTGGTGGGACGTGGTGTGAGATGTGCTGGCCTCAGGAAATGATGGGTAAGAAGGTAGATCCATGCCTTCTGGAAAACACAAAATTGAGAGACCATAAAGCTTTTAAATTTCCTGAAAAGGAGCTGAAGTGGAGATTCTGCATACCTTTAAAGGTAAAGCAGACCAGCTCTCAGTTAACTATTCAGAATTTAACCTTTAAAGTTCAATGAATTACATATATGCATTGTATACGAATGTGTAAACTATTGTTTGAAGTCAAGCATCAAATGCTCTTGTTAACATCAGCTTTAAAATGTCACATGACTATTTCTATTTTCTATTATCTACAAAAGAAAACATTCTGCTACTTAAATTCTTACAGCTGACTAATAACCCATCCTGGAAGCAACTGTGTATATCTTGTCATTTCTTTGATTTTCATTTTCTGGTCTGTCAAATATGCATATGGTTTTAAAGCTAAATATAAATGACTATAATATTTAGGATATCGCCTTCTAAGTCTAAAGATCCTACAACAGGGTAATATCAGTGGTTGGGTTTTCTCTCTACCTGACCACTTGGCTTGAGTAAATTCACTGTCTGACAGAAATTCTCTTTCATCCAGGCCAATCCACTGACCTTCCTAACACGAGACTAGATGATCTGGACTCAAATCTGCCAAACTTCCACAACAGTCACTGTTGATATATGCTCCACACAGTGCTGAATGCTTCACATAACCTATGAATCCATTCATTTGGGAATCAAATAAGAACCCAGGAAAATACAAATCAAGGAGAGTAATTCAGAAGAAGGAGAGACAGAGGACTATCAAAATCCAGACAGGTTACGGAGTCCTATTGCAGTACATTTAAGGATCACTTGATGATGGCATTAAAAATCCATGTGCCTCGGGAAACACCTCGGGAATCAACAACTGGGATATCATCTTATTAAAAAGTTTTTGCATGTCAAAGAAAATCCCCAACAGAGTGAAAAGAAAACCCACAAATAGGGAAAATATCTTACCCAACTGTCTCTCAGACAAAGGACTTCTATTTAGAACTTAAAAGAATTTTAAAAAACCAAGCCCCCTAAATTCTAGAACCCAATCAAAAATGGGCATCCGAGATGAATACACACTTCTCAGATGAATACAAATGGCAAATAAATACAGGAAAAAATGTTCAATGCCAATGATCATTTGGGAAATGCAAATTAAAACAACACTGCTATCCCATCTCACTCCTGAAAGAATGGCCAAGATCAAGAAATCAACCAACCACAAATGCTGGAGAAGATATGAAGGAAAAGAAACTCTTCTGCACTGCTGGTGGGAGTAAAGATTGGTACAACCACTGTGGAAATCAGCGTGGAGATTCCTCAAAAAGCTAGGATTAGAGATTCCATTTGACCCAGCTATCTCACTTCTGGGCATTTTCTCAGAAGAACTGAAAACATCATACCACTGAAATATGTGCACCCATGTCTACAGCAGCACAGTTTCTAATGGCCAAATCTTGTGAACAGCCCAAGTGTCCATCAATCAAGAAATAGATAAAAAAGATGTGTTTTTATACACTGGAGTACTTTCAGCTATAAAGAATGATTGCATCAAGACTTTTATAAGTAAATGGACATGACTTGAGACCGTACTCATAGGTGAAATAAATCAAATTCACATGTGTAAATATCATATTGTCTCCCTAGTGTATGAAACTGAAAAATTATATTGTATATGAAGTTATACCCAACTATTTCAAAGAAAGAGATATCTTGGTAGTTACTGTTAATTATGAGTTGTCTACTGTTTTGTTTACATTGTTCTGTTTTGATCTGCTCTGTTATGTCCTATTTTGTCTTAATCTCTTTAAAAGAAAAAAAAGAAACTGAAAAATTATGTATGTTCCAAAATCTACAATGAATACTGTATAAAGGTAAGAAACTGTTCAAAGAGGGAAAGTAATTGGAATAAGGAAGAGAGGAAAGAAGAAAAAAGGAAAAAGACAAATTTTTTGTGTATGTATGTGGGTATATATATATATATATATATGTAAAATAGCTAAACTGACTATTGATAATTGTATTATTGGAAAAGAACAGTTAATACTCATATGTTTAGATCAATTTTATATGTCTATATCTGTTAATCTAAGCAACCCTCTTGAAGGTAACAATATGTAATATTACAACCACTGTCAAATTCCTATCATCTTGTTTTGTAAACCTATACTGTTACTGTATTTGGTTTCTTGTTGTTGTTTGTCTGTATCGCTTTTTGTTTGTCTTTTCTGTGTCTTTTTAACCTTAAATTAAAAAAAATACATGTGCCCAGAGGCTGGCTTGGGGAAAGAGATGTATTTAGAAAAAGTCCTCAAGTATTTAAAATTCCTCCTCTCCCTCCTACCTGAGCTATAAAATTACTAAAAATAATTTGAGTAACTATGGTTCTACCTAACCATAACACTTATAACTCATTTAATTTGCTAGGACTAAAAATCAAATACCCTAATGTAGTACAAAAGATAAAATGTACATCTTTCAAGTACTATTCCAGAAACATAATTCTCTAAATGACAGCTTTTCTAAAATTCTAAGTAAGGTTAAATGATTGATAACAACCTGAAATTAGTTCTAATAATGTTGTCTGAATTCATGACAAAGTAAATCTAATGTTTTTCTAGGTAATAGTATTTTAGGTTTTTTTGTACCAGGGATTGAACTCATAACCTTGCACTGGCAAGACAGGCGCTTGGGTCACTGAGCTAAATCCTTAGCCTAGGTAACAGTTTTTCAACTCATTAAAAAGAATATATCCTACCCAGAGCAAAAATACATTTTGTGTATAGAATTTAATCTGATCTTTACTAGATTTAGTTGTTAAACTCTTCACCTTCAAGTTCATTTCCTCTAAACAAGTTTAGTTTGTAAGTAACTCTCTGAAAATGATACTCCAAGAAATGAATAATTTGCAAAGGAGGTAAAAGGGAAGTCGGGTCTCTAGAACCTAAAAGCGTAACACTATTGTATACCACTTCTCTCTGGAGAAAAAGAACCTTCAAAACAAGAAAGCACCTATCTTCAGTGTCACAGGGCCATCCAAACAGAGCAGGGTCATACCGATGGCCAGGAAAAGCTAAGCCAAAGCCAGGACCATTAGAACCTAAGAGTGGTGGGGCCCAACTCAGTTTAACCCTGACCCTGATCACAGGGCAGGTGACAACCACATTGGCTAGCCTGCACTCAGTCCTCTGCACACTATAACAGTTCCTGAATACACACAAGGATTTCTCTTGGGACAAGATACATAATGTGACACAAAGTTCATCTTCTAGTCAGTCCCTGTCACAATGAGAAGACCAAGGTGCTGGTACTGCTCTGCTCTGTACCCACTATACAGTGCTGCTAAAGATTCCTGATAAAAGAGCACTATGATGAAGGCTGTATTTTAGAAAAGCAAGAGTCTTAAGAACATCAAGTAGCAGTGTAACTTGGTCACAGGGAAGTAACGTTACCACAGGCAGGATGGATTCTAGACAAGATGAAAAGGAAAAGCAAATCCTGGAAGAACTTAAGTAACTTCATAGGAACCATGAAAGAAAAAAGGGTCTAGAATAATTTTAATAGTTGGATTAGGAAATTACAGATGGAATGAAATGAACTAAGAATAAAGACCACTAGAGAAACTTCTGAGGAAAGATGATAAACTGAGAAGTTTGGGTTTTTTTTCCCTTTTTGGAGTGCTATGGATGGAACTCTGGGCCTCGCACATGCTAGGCAAGTGCTCTACTGTTGAGCTACATTTCAAGGGAGAGATCTGGTTGGCAGTTGAGATGAGAGACTGGAAGCTTAGCAAGGAATCTGGAAAGTAAATAGATGACTTACACTACTGGAATCACATGACATAAAGATCTTTTTATCCTTGAACAGAAATTTAGGACACAATTAGAATTTCTGATGTTTTAAAATAAAATTTGAGAATTACTGGAGAAAAGTAACAAAGATAAACCATGGGAAAAGCAAAGGGATTAGAGAAAGACAAAAGAGAACAAGAAAAAGAATGGAAAAGAACAGAAATATAGTAATAAAAAAGCCAAGGAAGCAGAGTAAATGTCATGGTCCCACCCTCTATTTTTAAAAATTTTTAAACTTTTTGTCTTTTTGAGACAGAGTTTCGCTATGCAGTTCAGGCTGACCTTGGGCTCACTTTGTAGCCCGGGCTGATCTCGAACTTGTGGTGAGCCTACCTCAGCCTCCCGAGTGCTGGGATTATAGGAGTGTACCACCATGCCCAGCCCCCATCCTTTAGACTACCTGCTATAATACCATCCATCTGTTCCAATGCTGCAGCCAACATATCACTTGCATCACTCATCATTTTCTTGTTTGTCAAAGGCAAATTCCAATCTAGATCTGAAAAAAAAAAAAATGATGTAATCATTACCTGCTTCAAATGTTTCATATTACTAGTGGGTTTGCTAACTGAATCTCAAATTATACCTCCATTTAGAAGTTCAATATTTATCAAGAGAACTTCAGTAGTAGTGGAGCTGAATTAACGGGATCATTTAATAGGCCATGACTAGTGACTTACTGTGCTGTAACATCACATGCAATACCTGTGTGAGTTAATAAAAAAATAATTCAATTCTTTCACTCAAGTACTGTAAAGGGTTGGGGTATAGCTCAGCAGTAGAGTTTGGCTAACATGCAAAGATTTGGTTTCAACTGCCAGCACTGTAATACATAAACAGTATCCAACAGAATGATTTCTATGCTGTACTCTAGGGTGCTCCCTGAATGATATCAAGGACAGTTATGGAAACTTGTTCAAGGTCATGAGAGATGCTGAAGGACAAGATTTCTTTCTTCCTGTAAGCCCTACTCAAATCCACTTTCTTAATTTTTGCTTTGCTTTTATTAAATTTCTATAAAGAGTGTACTATGTAAGATTTCTCTAGGAAATGGGTTAACATTATACTGCTGTCTTTTGGCATCTGTGAGGGGTTAACTACAGGACACGACTGGATACCAAAACCCACAAACACTCAAGTGTCTTTAACAAAATGGTATAGTATTGACAGAATTTACCCACATCCTCTTGTACATTTTACATCATCTCTATGTTATCAATAATACTGCAATGAAAATGCCAGATACAGAAAAACAGTTGGTAAGTTGTATTGTTTAGGGACTAATATAACTACCAGGTCTTAAGTGCCTACAGTAGTTCTTACATCTTTATATAAATTATCCATAGTCTTTTACCATGACAACAACCTGATAAAATAAATTCATCTCTCCATTTTATAAGTAAGGGCTGACGATGTTTGACATTTGCATGGAAACAAGTAAATAGAGTAAAAGTCAGTTTTTAACCTACTTCTCTCTGACTTTCACTATAATGGTGATTTTCTAGTCTGATGCTATCTTAAGGATAGGTTGACTTATTCTGAAATCAAGTCCCAATCTACTCACAATTTTGCCTGTTAGAAAAAAACATTTAAAATTATACTTGCAAAAAATTTAGTCACCTTCAGGGGAAAAAACCATGATGCTGTTATTTGCCAATATTAATTAACCCAATTCAGGTACCAGCCTGAATACAGCCCATACTACTTCACAGGTACTGAGGGACATTAATTATCTGGCAAGTAAAGGACACACTGTTTAAAAGAAACCTTTGCTCTCTGTTACGAAGCAGCCAGATCTCACCATTCTATTTTCATGTTTATAGTAGTAATAGTTCTGGTATCAGCTCTTGTTTTTTTCTACTATAGATTTATTCTTAAAAAATGCAATTATTGTGAAATATTTCCTTTTTGATAATATTAGCTTACAATAACAGCAAGCAGGTATTTATTTGATAAGCAAATTACTTCAAAATTTGGAGGCCTATAGTTTGATTTTAGAGTAGTTTTATCTAAGGATTTTGTAGAACTTTAGAAGGTAAAAAATATCACTATCATTTATGTGGAAATAATAAAGTATAAAATGTGCAAGGTATGTATTAACAGCCACAAACCAAGTGGTCAACAAGTCAGATTATGAACCCAGGTAGTTGTAAAAATCTGACTTGCACCTTCAGATAGTTCATAGTCCAAAGAAGGACATAAATTTAATAACTGCACTGCAGATTGCAAACATGAGAACTGAAAGCATAAAGGATTATTTAGATGTGTGCAATCACTAAATTTCACATAATTCAGTGGCTTACTTTCCTTTTCACTTTAAAAGTAGCAACACACACGTGTTTATATATATATATATATATATATATATATATATAGTATATATATATAGTTTATATATAATGTATATATAAACATAGGAATATCAATAAAACAAAGAAATGCCCACATTAGAAAAACACATTACCTCACTAAATTAGAAAACCAAATACTCCTCTTTGTTAGCAGTTGTATTTTATGTAGAACATAAACACCTTTTCAAGTATAAAGGTAATTAACCTGTTTGCCTATGTTCAGGTCAGTGAGCTTGTCAAACACTATGTCATGGACGTATGAAGTAACCTAGACCATGCCATGAGAATGCTGAAGAACGAGATTCTTGAAAAACTTCCAATTCACTAGACACTAATACTTTAATATTTCAATTACTATGAGTACTATAATTATAAATGCTCACTGACTGTGACAGTTAAGCAGGGTTATCAACTTGATTGGCTTTAGAGCCACCCAAGGGAACAGTAAAGCACCAACTATAAAGCATACTTCTAGGTGTGCCTTGGTTGTTAGTGGGAGTATGACTTTGGGTACTATAACTATTTCCTGTCCCCTTCCTCTTTAACATTATTCCCCTACTGTGCTTCCTGGATTCCATGAAGTGAGCAGCTCTCCTCCACAATGATACTTCTGCCTTGGAACCAGCTGACCACGGACTGAACCCTCTGAAACATGAACCAAAGTAAACCTTCCTTCCCTTAAATTGTATGTGGAAGGCAATTTACCTAGCAAGTGGAAAGCTGAATAACACATTGTCAGTCTCTACATTCATCATGTAGCAATGTACATGTAACCGTAAGTGGAAAACATAAGTAAGAAAAATGTGTAACATGACAAAGGTGGTATATGTTTAAGGTAGAAAAGGGGTCTATGATAAAGGGGTCCAGAGCCTGGTGGAGTTTGCAAATTAATATGAAGAGGTGCTTATTATCACTAATAATGAGAGAATTCAAAATATTGTAATACTTTTTTACATTTAGTCAGAAAAAAAATACTATCAAAGGACATACTGGATATCGATTCACATGATCCCTTATAGAACAGTAATGGAGTTATAAAGTGTTTTAATCACTTTGACAGTGTGATATTACCAAACAAAATTAAGTATCCCATTCATTTTCAATACATTAATATTTCCTCCAAAGTATATAGCCCACAGTAAAATGCAAGTGTTCACAGAGGAAATATTTACAAGAACAAAAATATAGAAACAATTCCAAGTGTCCATCAACATAAGGGGGGATAAATAAACTGGTACAGTCACACAATGGTATGATACCCATTTACAGAGCTCCAGTAATAGTAATACATGTGCAATATGGGCAAATCAATGCAAAGTAACAGTAAGTTTAAAAAGTAAGTTCCTAGAAAATTATTTTAAAAAGCTAAAAGTAATTAAATATATCTATTTAGTCAGCTGGATATATGTATCCATATATACATATATATATCAGCTAATTGATATTCTGTAAGTATATGTACACATATATGAATTAGAAATACAAATCCAGTTGAACTATACAAAAAGAAAACGGGGCCAGGGATTTAGCTCAGCAGTGTAAGTGCCCAGCTGGCAAGTGCGAGGTTGTAAATTCAATCCCTAATACAAAAAAAGAAAGAAAAGAAAAGAAAAGAAAAGAAAAAAAGGAATGTCAATAAGGTAGACGAGTAATGAACTGAAAAGTAATTATTATGTTATTAAAAATAACAAAAATTTCAGTTCTGATTATGGTGGCATAGATTTCATTGAACAAATTGTTCCACAAACAGTAAAACAAAATGCTGAATAAAATACAAAAACATTTTGTGAGGAAGTAGAAGAATGACTAGAAGCAGGCAAAAAATGGAGGAGATTCGGCTTGAGAAAGAGTGATAATCAGTAAGATTCACAGTTCCACCTTGTAAGTATCCCAAATGCTATGATGTAGACACCTGCTAGGACTCACAGGGAGAAGTATAATCTCATTGGCTTAAATAAGAGTAAAATTCCTACATTATACACTAAGATGTTTAATATTAATGCATGGTAGACTGTAATAAGAATAAGTCATGTAATTCACTAAAACTATAGAGATATAAGTACAAAGTCTATCTAGTGGATGAAAAAGAATACAAATAAAATCTTCCTTTTTATTAAACCCAGAAGAAAGTAGTAATGAACAATGGATGAAGAAAAGAAAGAAAAAAGTCAAAGTATCAAAATGATAGACTTAAACTGAACCACATAAACAATCATATTGGATGTAAATGAAATAGAACTAGTAAAAACCAGAGATTAGATTAGTTTTTTTTAAAAGACGATATCCCATTAATGGAGTGGTATTTAAAATATGAAACATGTAAAAGGATTAAAAATCGATAATGTACATATGGTATGCACAGAAAGCAAAAATGAGTCAGTAAGAAAAACAATTTCTGTTTTATTGCTAGGGATTGAATGCAGATCTTTTTGCATGCTAAGCACGTGGTCTATCACTGAACTACACTCAGTTCTAAAAATAATTTCAAATCAAGAAGCAGAAAAAAATGGTAGTTTTTGCTTTGCATTGTATTGTTTTGAGACAGGATTTGCCATGCTATTGAGACACACAGACACTGAACTCTGGTCTCAATGATCTTGCTGCTTCTCAGATTCCTGAGTAGCTTCAACCACAGGGGTAAACCACTGTGCCCAACATGGGTATTTACAGGAATAAGAGTTAACTTACACACAAGTGTGAGGAGTGCATGCCTATGGTCCTAATACTTGGGAGACTGAGGCAAAAGAATGGTGAGTTCAAGACTTACAGAACTACACAGTGAGACTGTCTCAAAAATAAGTAGATAGACAAACAAACAGATTAATGAATTTTTAAGGCTGGGGATATAGTTCAGTGAAAAGACCCTGGACTCAATTCTTAGGAACACCCAAACTAACTACAAAAATGAAAACCCACTGTTTATTTGTTCAAAAGTCATAATAAACACAAATGCTTTCAGAAATAAACAGTTTTAAAATACAGAAAGCAAAAACTGACAAGGAATTATGAAAAATTAGATAATTTAGTTCCTTTATATTTAGTTTAAGCCACTGATGTGGTTAGAATTAGGTCTTTTGTCCTCTTGGGAGATGGAAAACCCTGGTAACATAGAATATTTGAGCAACATATCAACCTAATTCATATAACCTAATTCAGCATAACCTAATTCAGTTTATAGTACAAAAAAGACAAATACAAACTATACATTCTTTTCAAGTCCATATGTCATGTTCACCAGCATAAGTCATTTATATAAGGCTATAAAGTAAATCTCAACAAATTTCAAATGGGTCTTAAAAGAACTACAGAGGAGATTAAGAGCCATACCTATAAATAGTGAAGTACTGAGAGTAGAATTTCCATATTTATTAAACCTCTGGCTTGCCCACAGAGTTATTTTAGAGGTGGCCTTACTTACTGCATCTGTATCAATAAAACAGTGTTAATTTTCATGGCTTGGTCAAACATTTTTTAAAAATGAAAAGACTAAATAAAGTTTAAGAAAACCACAGACTCTAAGAAAGAGTCTTATATTCTCAGAATTTCTGAGGATTTTCTGGGCTTCCTTACATAATTACTATACCAGAACATTATTCTAATACAATGGACTATTATTCCATAACAAATACTACATGCAGCATTATGTTTAACAGAAGAATCCAGACTCAAATGACAACATACCATATCACATTATTTAGATCAACTGTGAGAATATGCAATCTGTTATAGAAAATGAAACAATTACTTTTCAAGTAGCATATGATTGAAGGTAATACTCGGAGAACTTTCTTTTTAATAATTTGCTTGAATTGGTAATACATGTATACATTGGTCAAAACTCATCTTTTGCAAACGGGGAAGGAACCAAAACAATGGAGGCAGAGGTAGGAAAGGGTACACAAGAAGAGTTAAGACGGGTTATAAACCACATGTACCTACCCCTTACAATGAATGTAACCATTATGTATTGCAAAAATTTACCAACACAAAAATAAAGAATCTGAGTTTTAAAACTTCATAAGGAAAAATACTCACCAAAGTAAGCAATGGCTTTGTCAAACAGTTTTTTCTTTTATTTTGTTTGGTACCAGAAATTGAACTTATAACCTCACACTTACCAGGTAGGAGCTGTACTAATGAGCTATACCCTCAGACATAAGCAATGATTTTTAAAACATGCCAGGCATTAAGAATCTAAATGTCAATCCTGTTCTTTAACTAGGAAAGAACTATCAGTTACTAGCTAAATGTTGAAAGCATAAAATTAGTTCAAAACCTGCTTAATCAGACATTCCTTTAAAACTTATGTATAAATAGCACTGTTTAGTTTCTAACTGGGGCAAATTCTACTGACACTTCAACCACACTGCAATGGATATCAACCAAGTTTTAGCTATCTGTAGATTCCAGGAAGCCCTTGCTGGTCTGGAAATGCCACGACACAAATGCCTCTTCAGAGTAGTCATCAACTTTAGGTACTCCAGCACACTTTCTCCTTGAAGGGATAACTCCAATTTGTGTAATCTACACTGGTACCCAAGTTACTAGAGGCTTACATTCCACTCAGAGTAATAACTTATTTCATAATTCATCATTTATTAGCTCCTTTTTGTTTTACTTCCCACGTTTCTCTAACACTTATTCCTATAATTACTTTCCAAATAAACCTTTTCTATTTTAAAACAAACCCACTCGGTTGGGTGTGGTCGCACTTCCCTGTAATCTCAGCACTCTGAGAGGCTGGAGTAGGAGGACTGCAATTTTGAATCCTGTCTGGGTGACTTAGCAACACCTCCTCAGAAACACAAAAAAGGGCTGGAGATGTACCTCAGTGCAAATGTGCTAAGGATTCAAGCCCCAATACCATAAAACAAAACATAAATAAAAAAAAAAAAAACTCATTCAAATTGCACTACTACATTTTGCTGTGTAAATTTTATCTCAAGTATTAAAAATCAGGAATGAAGATGACTGTTAGAACCCAGAGATAAAATCACAGTGCAATAAACAGGTGGCAAGATACAAGTAGAATATGCATGGTACTATAATGACAGGAATCAAGGATAATGAATAATCCAATCATATGCACCAAAGGTTCAAAGGAAAAGGCTAAAACATCCAGCTCTCCTAGTTGGCATTATTCGCTTCCTAGAAAGGTGCTGATTTGGTTTCAGGTGTAAAAAACAAAACAAAAACAAACAAAAAAACACAAGACAATTAACACTTCATCAACCATAATTCCTACAAGATAGCAAATTTATTTCTGGATTCTAGGTTGGTGATGTTTACCTCTTTAAGTGACTTGATGAGAAAAGGAATCAGGAAATACAACTACCCAAGGCAGCATACTTGGGTTCAAAGCTATAGTTCAAAGTGGCAAATCCCCTTTTTTGCTGAGTGATGCAAATAGCTAAGCAAAGGCCTGTTTGCAGGAGTCCTGAGCTGAGTGATTTCCTATCCTAAAGGATTAATAAATGTAAGTTTAGAAAAGCTTTCGAAAAGCAATTTCTGTGGATAATATTAACATTATGGTAAGGAACAAAAAGAAAAAAACCCAACAGAAGGTTAGGTTGTTTTAAGCTTGGTCAGGACTCAATTTAGAGCAGATCTGAATGGAATAAACTGTCACAGAAAGTTCCAGAAATGGGTATGGTGGCTCAAGGCTTGGCATACAACTATAATTTTTTGCTGTATTGGTCACTAATTGATGTTTTAGGTCAGGCAAGATGCCCAGTATTTCTGTGAAAACTGCAAGAAAATTAAGTTTGTTTTGTATGTTAGCAAGAATAATATTTTGTCCTAACTTCTTCACCTTATGTAATGGTTGATATAGTATATAATTAACTAACTCAACAGCTCTACATCTTAGGATGTGGAGGACATTCCCCTATTGTTCTAGGACTTTGTTCTTTTTGTCAACTTGAGAAGTTTAGAAGTTTTAAGTGATTCAGCAGGGGGTCAGGTTTTTACTTTGTAAGCATCTTCAGCCTGCCAGAGGAGGGTACTTGGGAGAGTGTGTGTATATAAAGGACCTCCCCTAGAGTAGGTAGCCTGTATACAATAAAAGAGAAATGAGGAAGCACTGATTGTTGGTGTTTTGGAGGAACTCCAGTCTTCGATATCTTCTCCTGGCTTCTGCTGCTGCAGACTGACTGGATTCCACAAGACTTTTCAGCCTTTCTGGAGTAGGCTCTTCACCTTTTGTGGCAGACTCTTCAGCCTTCTGGCACAGATTCTTCAGCATTTGGTTGAAGACCCATTGTCTTACTTACATAGATTTACATGGAACACTGCAGTGAGCTCCAGACTTTGAACTGAACTCTTCAGCCTCCAACATGCCGACATCCTCTGTATGCCTCTTTACCCAACTCTGTGGTAGACCATCAATCTTATAATTTGTTATACATTTGTGTATCTGGTGTTACATCTGTTCCTCTAGTAAAACCTGACTGGTATACCTCATTTTAGGATTTCAAAATAAACTTCAAACTTCTTGCCTAAAAAACACAGAACTCACTGAAATTAACATACTTGACAGAAGAAACTCCTTTAGAAAGACAATGTTGACATGCATTGACAGCTATATTGATATAGTCATAATGAAAACATAACATACATTTACATAAATTACTCATATGCTGCTTTTTGCCATGTCCCCATGTTTAAGAGGCTACACAGACAGGATAATCACTAATATTCATTGTGTGCAGCAATACAACCTTAGCAAAGATAAACTGTCTTAAAAACAGGGACCAGGACCCCTGCAGCCAGTGGGACTGTCAGCAGTACCTTGCTCTCTACTCTGGGGATCCTTGCAGCCAGTGGGATCATCAGACCTCAGGCTGGCAGCACTGCTGTCAGCCCTTCCTCTTCCACCCCAGAGACCCTGGGAGCAGCAAAATCGTGGGTTGCAACTCCTCCTTCACTTCAGAAACATTCAGAAGGAGGGATCATTACTCAACACGCCCCCCCCCCCGTTACCCTAGACACCTCAGCAACCCATAGACCATCAGCAATGTAGTTCACCACCTGCAAAACCCTGGAGGGGGCTGGTAAAAGCATCAGCAATCCCTCACCCACACAGAGTACCTCACTGGGCCTGTGACAGTCAGGTGAGTTTCTCCTTCAAATAGAGGACTTCGGTGGGTCAACAGGAGCAGCAACAACACTCCCACCCCCAGCTGTAGGACTTTGGTGAGCTCAGCAACAGTGTGGGTATACTTCTTCCACACAGAGAACACCAGGCAAGGGGTTTGAGGAGAGCATCGACAAGGCCTCCCTGTGCCCCTCACCCCAGAGAAACTTGAAAGGGCCTAGGAGACTCCCAGTGACACAGTAGGGTGTCAACTGAGGCACACAATACAGCGAGGTAAATCTGGAAGCCTGGAACAGCCTAAAGCCAGAGTAATAACAGGAGCTAAGGGTTGGCTTACATCAACACTCCTAGGCTAGTCAGCCTAGGGAAAATATAAGACTTGCCCAACAGGCACTGCAGGAGGAATTTAGGTGACTGGCCCTCCCCTTCACTGTGAGACCCAGTAACTGGACAAACATCACCCATACAGTAGGACTCCAAGACACACACAATGGATAGTTGAGACGAGCAGGATTGAAAAGACCAAAATATTAAGCCAAGAGATGAAAATGACAAAATGAAAAAGCAAATGTGCAACCTCAAATGTCCAGTCCATCAGGAACAAGCACAGGAGGCACTAAAATAGAGAACATTTGAAGTCACACTCCTGAAATTTCTGGAAAGATAGCAAGTGAAATAGAAGAAACAAATCCATGAGGCTACAGAGGAAATCAGTTTAGAAATAATTTCTCAGGTAAAGAAAGAAATGACAACCTTAATAAAAGAACACCTAGAGAAGACATAGGTTAAAAAAAAGTACAGGAGCATGGCAAAAAGATGGAAACCTTGAACAAATAGTTGAGAAACAAATAGAATATATGAAACAAATTCAAAGAGATAGCCAGGAAATTAAAAAGCTCCATTTAAAGCCGAGGAAGCTGTTTGAATGAACCCGAGGTTAGTCTTTCAGACTTTAAACACAGGATTGCACCTAGTGATGATGAAAGGAAAGAACTTTTAAACATGTGGCCTGTGTTCCACATGGCGAGCCGAAAGTGCGCACAGCGATTTTGATCCTGTGAGGAAGCCTTGGTGCCTTGCTCAGACTGGTAGGGCTCTGCCCAGCATCCTCCATCATTGGAGGACCCATGGGAAGGTCCCTCCAGGTCTATATGGTCCCTGGCCAGCGACTCCCACGTGGCCCGGAACTGCCTACACTCCGTCTGGCAAGCCAAAACTGCACATAGCCATTTCCATCCCATGGAGAAGCCTTGACACATTGCTTGGAGACTGGTAAGTCCCTGCCCAGCATCCCATATCACTGGAGGACCCACAGGAAGGTGCCTTC